AATTATAATCACAAATACCAAATACTTTTTTGTCAGTCTGGAGAATTAATTTGACGGTGAGCTTTTTGATCGTTTTTCTAAGAGAAATTTCTTTTCGCGAACACAATCATGTATTCTAATAATTTATCTGTGTAAGATTTAAGAACCAAATAGTCCCTCTCTAATTAATCTTCTAATTTCAATATGCGACAAGATGCGATGCAACTTGTCGCAAAGGCGAATTGTTCTGCGAGTCGCGATACAGCGACAACGATAGAAGCATCAAAAGAACTACCTCATGCGTGGCGGAGATGGACGGGCCATGGAGAATCAGATCAATTTATATTTTAATCGTCCCGTTCGGGAGGAGCGAGGGAGGCTTTTATCTGTCGCATAGCAGACGATGACCCATCCAATCCATCTGCCTCAATCATCGATCGGAGAAGAAACAAATGCGGCACCACGCACGATAGAGTCAGAGTTGGCCTATACTGATCTCCGGGTCTAAGCATCTACCGGGATACGATCGTCACTCGACCGGAAAATACAAAGGGATGTGCGCGCGACGTTCATAGGTAGCCCAGCATTGCTGCAGTTGATGGATCGAGTCGGTTATGGGTGATGAGAAGAATGCTCGTTAACCTAACGGTTCAGACAGCTAAGTAATAAACACCCGTACTTCTATTTAAACGCTAAATTCGATGGGACTGCAATGCATGGGGCTAAAACATTATATTTATACAGAATCTTCGAACAAGCTGAATGAACATCATCCAGCTATATTTATTGAAAGATGATAAATTATGAACCTAGAATAAATAATAAATAATAAATAATGAAATATAAATCTGAATTGTGAAAAATAAATTATGGATTTCCGATTTGATTGATTTTATTGAAAATTTTATGTGATCTTTTTCTCCATTTTTGAGATTAAATATTTTTAATAATTAATCTTCAAATTATAATTTTATGCAGGAGTAAATTAATTGAGAAAAATACTGCATATTAATTGTTCATAGCTCATAATCTATCTGTGTTGAAGATTTCGAATTAATGACAAATCTCATTGGAAATCAATGCGTACGAATTTACGGGCACTGTATTCTACTCGATGTTTATCACTGACTACTGAATGCACGATGCTTATCTATGAACAGTCAACGCTGGCATGATGCAAATGCAGTGTCAGGTGAAAAGAATAAGGCGACGTTACGGAAGCGGGAGAAATTCCGGAGACGACGTATGCACGAACGAATGTATGAGTACGTTGACCTGAAATGACCTGACCTGCGACAACTCAACGTGTCCGGCGATAAACTGTCAGCATCGAAGTAATCTCATGCGCGGATTATCGATACACCGACATGTATACTTACGTTACGCAACAACTACGTTGCACCAATTTTACATAAATGGAAGTATGCGAATAGTTTTCCGTATACATATAAAGTGATTCGATGATCATCTATTTTCGTCGCATCGATTATCAACGACCGTGGCAGGATCGTGCGATGGTTATTTTTCGCGGATTTTTCTGCAAATTTAGTAATTCCAAGTCTAATCTCACTACAAACAGTCTTGGCCACAATTATAAAGCATCTCTACAAATTTACGTAAACGTTCTGTATTTTTCTAAAAAAAATAAATGAAGAAGTTTTATTGAAAAATAATATTTATTTTTAACAATTTTAGTTTTGTCTTAATCTTTCTCTGGCTTTTTTTCATTAAATTAAGAGTACTTTATACACCATAAAAAAAGATTTTTTAATTCAATGCTATTATTATTCGATAAAATTTATATATAAATAAAATAAAATAAAATCGATATAGGAATAATTATATTTATTGTTAACAGAGGAATATTTTATTCTTAAATAAAAATTCTTATATCTGAAATAAAATGATCTCCGACATTGGTTTCATGTCAAACTCCAGCATCGTGCGTTACAACATTGGATAAAGATTTATTTTAATATAAGAATTTATATAGACTTAAATTTATATGTATTACTTTTGTCTCAAGACAATAAGTTAATCTTTAATCTTTAAGTCTGGGAAGGAAAATAAGAATTATTGATCTAATTTTAATATCATTTCATTTTTATGCTGCATATAAGGTTTCAATAAGATTAAATACGTCAAAAACATTTTCTGCTTTTTATTAGAAATCCTTTCTGAGAAGATACTCATGATCCAGGCTATCTTTAAAATATCTGAAGAATGTATTTGTAAGTTTATATGAATATTATTAAGTATCAAAATCTGCTTCGACTAAAAATAGGATTTTTTTTCTCTTATTTGATTCATTCTTGTCGGTCTAATTTCCACTTATAGATATCATTTCTAAAGAAATAAGAAGGTATTTGACGATTAGAAAGATATCGTCGATCGATAATCGCGTCTAACGCGATTATAATCTCGCTGGATGATTATGATATGACCAGTGTTATTTGTATTATTAAAAGGGGAAATGAGCCTTTATTCCTGGTACACTTAACCGTTTGATTCACCTGTATCATTTGTCGGCTCGGAATTAACACTGGAGTGCTCTTTCCAGAAATACTCGAATGGGGTTGTGGGCGAACACGTGACTGGAAAACGTGCCCGCCGATGCACGTGGATCCGGGCACATCCCCCGACGCGCCTCGTGCCTTCAACCCTCTTCCGTTTTGAGGTGGAGGAGAAGCTTTCGCTCGTCTCAGTCATCGCCGAGTCTCTTTGGGTTGCGTGTGTATGAAATTGCATAGACGATCCTCGCGACGACGCGCCCGCGAGTCTCTCCTCATAGACGAAACGGATGCATTCACGCATGTAAAATTTGCCGACCAAGAGACGCACCTGTGGACATTATGGTGCATCTATCTGTAATTCGTCAAAGTCGCGATCGCAATCTCGCCGATCGATTTCGGGCCTTGACACGAAAGTGACAATCGATAGATTTAGATACTTCGAAGAAGCTGGCCGGATTCGTGCAGCAACGCGACGAGTTTAATCCGCGGTTGTGCGGATCACTGAGATAAATCGCAGCGGAAGCTTCTCGATCTTTTCGCGGAGACAATCGACAGTCACGGCGGAACGTAACACTTGTTCCCTCGCCATCATGATTTTTAATCACTTTACGCTGCATTCATCTGTAATACATCCGATTCTCCGTCTCAATCGCGCAATAGCATAAAAATTTTGAAGCAAATAAGATTTTTTTCATCTTGAAGAAATATTTAGAGTGTCTTTTTTTTTACATAATGTGAAATGTATGCGAAATTTTAATGCAAAACTCGTGTAATTTCTCAATGATACAGTGTCCTTGATACTCAATTTCTGTAAATTCTGTCTTCATTGACGTAAAAGAAATCAAAGATATGTATATTTTATTGATATGTATATTTTATCTCGCTTTATTTTCATCACTATGTGACCTTTTGACTACTATCACATGATATTTCAGAAAAATAGATTAACATGCCATAAAATACGTTCACACTTTTGCTTTTTATATTTCGAATACGGTAATTATTTTTTTTAATTTGACATTGTTGTATTATTTATATAATATAAACATAGATACATACATATAATTTAAAAAAGCAAAGATTTATAATATTTTCCTATTGATTATGTTATCTGTTATGATGTGACTATTTTTGATATTATTTTTTTCTTTTTAAATTTTTTTACGAAAATAAGAAATTAATTTTTTACAAAATACAAAAGTAATAAAAAGATACTAATGTTATGAATTCTAAATAAGTTAATGCTATGAATTCAAATGAGAAAAACTATGCAAATATAAAATTTTGCTCTCCTATTTTGCTTCCTAATTTTGCTTTTTTATGTATTTCATTAAATGAACAAAAAATTTAGAAAAAGAAATATATTTAATCTATTATATATTTTTAAACTCTGCTATTGTTCGCGAAGTTGGATGAAATATTACGGAGAATATGTTTGTTTATGTGACTATTATATCTTTTTCAATTTATTAATTTTTATGTACATCTGCAGAATTCGTAGATAATTCAGTGGCAACATGCAAATGTGAAAATTGAACAAAATACGTATGATTTGCGACCGGTGAAACTTAGAAGATTATAAATGCATCGTGACAAAAATTGCAGTTGAAACGACAAAAGCAAATCGTTGTTAAATCATCAATGAATTATTTCGCAATGCAAACTCACTGAAAACTGTTAATTTTTTCAACATCAATGCAAAACTGAACCAAATGAATACTGGACAAATAAATAATAATTAAAGGTGTATTTTATTTAAGTAATAAAAAAAAGTATTCCATTATTTCGGAAAGTGAATAATGAGCATCGAAATTGACGGATATCAGTTTGGTAGAATTTGACGAAATAGCAAATTACTGAACACAAGTCGAACTCAGATATGACGTCGATTTTACTCTGAATAGCGAGTGTTTGTGTGAGAACTATTCAGATTCAATATATTATACGGCCTTTCCAAGAAGAAAAAAGCTACTGTTGAATCCAAAATGGATTCCTGCGGCTGGACGCGAATGGGGAACGAGGATGGCGAGGGAATGGCGGGTTCGGACCCGGCTGCTTCTTGGCAGCAGTGTTACACCTGGTGTACGCCGTACTCGCATTCTCACCCTCATCATCCTCGTCAGTATCAGGGCAGCCAATATCAGCAACTACCAGGAAGCGCTTCCGCCGCGACAAATGCTTCCACCCACTATCCATCTTCCCAGCAGCATCATCTACAATTGCAAAATACCCAGCCGCCATCTCTGGATCAGCAACAACATTTTCACCCTATTAGAGGACAGGGCGGACTTCGGAGAGCCGTTCCTTATGACGAATCAGGTATCCGCGTGCAGCGAATTGTTACAATATCGATCCCTATCTTAATGAAAAGAAACAAGGCAATTTCGTGCGGATTAATGCAAGCTTAACAACTTATTAATTACATATAAAATAATAATGTAATAACATAAATAAATGCTAATAAAAGCATCTATTAGCCTTTATTTTTATTATTACATTATTATTATTTTAATATTGAAAGTTCTTTATAACAACTTATTGTTTGATTAATTATACTTAATCATTTGGTGCCACACTATACGTTTTGTCATAGAAATAAAACTAATATTGTGTAAAAATATCACATAAAAAAATAAATATAAATATAAATAAATATATTTATAAATAAATAAAAATAAATATATTATAACAAAATTTTTTGAAATATTAAACATCACTATAATGATAACAAGCAAATGTGTTTTTATTGATAAATAAAGTTATAACATATAAAGTTATATCCTAGTATAGCACAATTTATTAGCACAATATTGTCATTCAATATCGGTCAAATATATCTTCAATGTATCTAATATACCAACAATTAGTAAACTAGAGTAGTCAAGTATGTCATACCTAGAGTAGTACCGAAGGGTTAAGACAATATATGTCTTCTGTTAACGATTACAGTTTCATTATGAGACATCAACTTCATCATGCACCGTGAAAATTAATTACATTTCTTCAGAAATTTTCTCCGTTTTTTTTGTTCTTCTCCTGGGTATTCTAAATCGTTCCTCTTCAGGGACAACTTTCCCGGATGCGAAATTATATAAGCACTCCAGTTAATCGTCACGCAATGTCCATCAAATGGATCGATCTTATGGAAAGTATTAATATATCTTATCTATCGGTTTCGGTTAATCTTTCACGTACATCCTAAATATTATCTCAATTATAATATCATCCTCTTATATACTTCGGCTATACCCAGGAGGTTCGCGTTTCTTGCAACTTTTATGATAGATAGATCTCTTATTGATAATACGAAAAATGATAAAAGCGATAAGAAAGATGTAAGATAGTCCTACAGAAAGAGACTTAACCGAAAATAATAGGGGAAATTCGGGCAAAGCAGATATGTTAAGGTTTAGGAAGAAAAATGACATAGTTAAAATTAAGATCAAAAATCTTTTTTATTTTTATAATTCTATTAATGGAATCAATTTTGAAATAAAATGAAATTAAATTTCATTAAAAACTTGAACATTTAAATAAAAAATTAAATCTTTTTAGTCGAACGTAAAAAAAGAGAAGCCCGATTCTGGGCAAAATGGATGGGTCATTCGAGCAAAATGAGGATGGAATTAAAAAAATCGAAATCAGTGTTGACAGTTCATCACAAAAGTAATTGCCAAATTCTCTATATGTAGAGCAGTCTTCATGAGCCCATTGGTGTACTGACTGCAATGGATCCAGTATTTTTCAGAACATACATCATATTACGTTGTGAAAAAAAAATAAAAATGAGATGTAAACAATCATGTAACTTTCGTTCACTCGAAAGAGTCTGTCCCTTCGTCTTACCCAGTATTTTCAGTGCAATCACATACCGAGTAAAGAGGATGAGCTTTGCCCTTATTTACTTTACTCAAAGAATCTACTTGGCGTTAATTTGGAAAGGTTAAAATAAGTTTAAGCAACAAGTGAAAAATTTTAACCTTGAATATACATTTAAAGACAGAGAATTTTTGTAAAAAATTATTCACACTAATTAAGAAACAATAACTGCTAATGATTAAACTACGTACCTTAGCGAAAATCGCAAGAAAACATACAATTTCTTTTATTTCTATATATGTTGCTTCGCATTTTTATGGCGCGTCACCGGTCGGTCATTCCTTCAATAGACTTAGAGACTCATAGCATTATCTCAGATAGATAAGCAAAAATAAAAAATATTCGCTTTGCTCAGGGCATTCGCTTTGCCTGAACTTCCTCTACATATTTACTCGTTACTACTACTAACATTTCGTGCATCCTTACGTTGACTTTCTATCGATGCGGTGTTACTCAAGATGATCCAATTTTCTAAAGACGCGATAACGAACGATTATAATAATGAAAGCCATATAGCTGCAAATGGAGAAAACATATCACGCGACATAAGACGTGCACGTGTGAATTCTATCAATTAATTTTTATATGATAAACGTAAAAATAAAATTTATGCAACAGTTTTTTGCAGCAATTGCACAAATTTTCCTCGCAACGGTAAAACCGTTGTTTGAACAACAAAGTTTCGCTGCTTTTAAAATCGTAGAAAGATATTAAAATGGAAAGAGGTCCGTATCAAGACGCTTTCATAAACCTTTTAAATAAATCTTTGTTAATAAATCGTAAATGATAGATTTGCGAATTAGATGTTTTCGTCGTTCACCGGCGTCAGAATGGCGAACACGTCGAACACAATTTTTCCGGACACACGTTTGCGTAACGCATCTCACGACGAAAGGGATTTGCCACTCCATACGAAAGCTGTTGCAAAAAGACAAGAAGGAAGAGAAGTTGCCCACGCAACCATCGGTAAACAGTCTGATGAATTATTCATGGGAATCTGTTGCTTTCATCCAAACGGCTGTACCGTTTCGCGATGCGGATTTGTTTAACTAAAAGATATATTAGAGAAATAAAAATTGGCTTATTGAGATATAAATTCAGTAAAGTAAATATTTCCGAAGCCTACATAGAAGCCTACATACATGCTGAATCTAAAAATTTAGCTTGATACAGATCTGAAAATAATTTTGGACCATCTAAATAATTATGTAGGACGCCCAAGTTTATTACAATGTAAAAACTTTAAGAGCCATCACACACAAAATGACGTAAGCTGCATAGCTAGTATAAAACCTGGACGTTGCAACGTTGCTAAAATGTTCTAAAATGTTTCTTACTTACTGGGCATAATTATTTTGATGATTTAACAAAATTATTTTCAGATCTATATCCAGCTTTTGAATTTTTAAACTTTTTAAATTTTTAAAACCGTTTCTTTAATAAAAGCGTTCTTTTTATATATAGTTGCGACTTCTGATATATGAAATTAATTGGCAATACAGATGTATTTAACTGCTTTAATTAAATTCTTAGCTTCAAAATTTTCAACATTTGTTTCAACATAAGTTGTAAGAAATAAGAATTAATACATTATTATCGCAAAATATGATATGGATATGATAATAGGACAGAATCTTAACTAGAATAACAACGTTATAATGCGATTCTTTGTAGAGATGACGCATTCCAATGACATCATTAAAATTGCACGTATGCACCATAATTATACTCCTTTGTTAGTGTTTTCCGTCATGCGGCGCTCACACTTTTCGTACTTAGGTGAGCGTATTATTTATTCATGACGCTCTCATATAAATATTTATTAATCCATTTACCGCCTACCTAATGAAACATAAACTTCTTTTGCGTCTTTTACGATCTGTTTAATCTCTTTGATTCAGGAGCGGATAATTACTTATCGTGACCTGACCTAATAATTTGTATTTATCTCCAATGCGAAAATGTTCTAAAAATATGTGGAATTTCAAAAGAGATTATAAAATGTTAACAAAATTATTTTGAAATACTTCTTAAATAATTGAAACAATCGAGTTTTATAAATTTAAAAATTGTTTTATTCTATAAATATACGACGAAATCTACGGTCTTTCGAATTTATTTGCTTTGAAATCCAATTATGTAAGGATTGTATTATTTGTCCGAGTTTATCGTGGGAGAAAATTTTCCAGAATGCATGAATGTACCGAGACGACTACTGTGTTTATCGAGAAAAGCGACTGTAAATGGAAATAGCCGTTACGGGGACAATAACGTTGTGGCGTTATTTTCTCTCTCATGGAAATTCGAGGTAATCTCGATATCGAAATAAACAGCAACGTCCATCACGTGGAGCGACGTAACACGAAAACTGTATCTAATCGCGTACGATTTCCATCGTACGGGGATTCTTTTCACCATATCGTTCTTTCGTACATACTTTTATGTTACTCCGTTATGCAAATTATGTCTGGTCCGATCGGTTTTGAGACGCATGAGAGAATAAATTTTATCTTTGACAACTTTCTCCTAGTTATGTATCACATTTTTTGCACTTTCACGTAAACTCAAAAAATGATAATGAAACTGAAACAAAATTATTAACTCAACTGCCTATATATATTGATTGTATATAATTATTGTAATTTATTAAATAACGCAAAAATCGTTAAACCGTGTACTATATTTTTATGGAATTAAACACACTGAAAGAAAAGAATTTGATATTTGTGATATCGATTTGTGATAATATAGTTGTACGATAAAGTAAGTAATTATAATTAAAAGCTCTATATATATAGTTATATAACTGTTATAATGTCAGTAATAATAATTATTTTTATAGTTTCATCAAAAAAATATTTAATTGGCGAAAATGACACGAAATTATAGTTAAATTATGGTCATTTCAATCATTTTTTCACTCTGTAGTGTAAACAATAATGATAGAATAAAGAAAGAGAGACTTGTGCTTAGAATAATACGTTCCATAATTTTAAAATTATATTTTTATTGTAATTATATTTTATAAATTATATTTATATTGTTAATTTTTTTTTTCCGGTAATTTTATATCTCTAAATTCTCACGTTCATATAATTATATAAAAAAAGAATCAAACGCATTTAAAAGCAAATGATTAATCAAATAAATTATAGTTATCATCAAGAATGATAAACGGATTAAAAATACTACTGCTTAAGGAATTATGCATGATGAACTATATAGTGATCGCTTGATTAGCGAGCTGACATTGGAAGAGACGCATATCTTCAAACGATAACGTAAATCTATCTGCTGACAGAAGGCAATTACGATACCTTCTCACATACCTTACGCGGCTTCGCGTAAACCACAAGTATGACTTATTATTGTTTCTCCGCTGTCATGCACTGTGTGCTCGTACGTAGGCAACGAATACATAGTACAGGGATTGGGCGGACATACACGGACAAGTACCAAGGAGAGGACTCGTTTATGAAAGCGCGATTCTGGTTTACACAATTAATTAATTATCTTATTTGCGTGTTGG